GAGAATGAAATGAAACCACTTAACATACGAAAAAGGAAATAAGTTCGTTCGAGATGCTCTTCATAGATATGCTCATTTGTGTACAATTTCATTTTAAATATAATTAAAGGTATAATTCAACTTAAATTATTGATTTAAAAACTATAATATTTTCAACTGAACTCATTTTCTTAAATCCAAATATATATTAATTTGAGAAATACACATCCAAAATCTAACAATGATAAATTAACCCTACAAAAATATACATAGAAAAAAAAAAGTATTAAATGGTACTAAAAAATAGACTTTATAAGTGTTATAATGTGATAAGAAAGAAATAAAATAATAAGTATTAACTAAGCGTTTAAAAATAATAAATATTAATCTATCATCACTAATGGTGTCAACTCCAAAAACATCCCCAGTTTTATTCTAATCAACCCCTCCTTTGCTCTTTCCTCTCTCACCAAATCACCAAATCTCCAAAAGTTCAATTTTAGTTTGCTCCGGAATATAAGTTTCACCCTTATTTAATTTGATCAAATAAAGTGATATTATTATTAGTATCTTTGGAAGACATTCACCAACTGTAAACTAACACCAAAGCTAACTCCTGACAAAAACAATTACTAATAGTTATGGCTTCTAACTGCCACCCTTTACCTCTTAACTTCCTTTACTGAAACGCCCACACTCACTCTACCCTAAGAATCATTCTCTATATATATTTCCATCGTTTGCACCCTCCCTCCTCACAACCCCAGCAGAAAACTTCTCACTCAACAGCATACCCTAAACAATGCTGCACCATTTCAACATGAACATTTTGTTCACGTTCCTTTTAGCTGTCGCCACAGCATGTTTCTACGTCCCTGAGTTAAAACAACGAGGTTCGATCATAATAGCATCATGCATGGCCATGGCAATGCTGTACCACTTTTTAATGAAGCGACCCTGCAAAGTTTACTTGGTGGACTTTGCATGCTTCAAGCCAAGCGTGGCGTGCCTTTGCTCCAAGGAAACGTTGCTGGACAGAGCCAAGCGCGTGGGGTTTCTCTCCGACGAAAACTACAAGCTCGTGACCAAGATTCTCGACAGGTCTGGCTTGGGACCGTGGACCTATGTTCCAGAGGGGCTGTTGGCGATTCCGCCAAAGCTAACTTTGGACGAGGCAAGGAAGGAAACCGACACGGTGCTCTTCGGAGCTGTTGATGAGCTTTTGGAGAAAACTGGGATTGAAGCGAAGGACATAGGGATACTTGTCGTGAATTGTTGCTTGTTCAATCCCACACCGTCCTTGTCTGACTCCATTATTAATCGGTACAAGCTTCGAGGGAACATTCTGGCGTATAATCTCAGTGGCATGGGGTGCAGTGCAGGGGTTCTTGCTGTTGACTTTGCCAAACAGCTCCTTCAGGTTCTCGCTTATCATTCATGCTCATTGATTTTCATGTCTTGTGTTAGATATGTTGCAGATTTTGTTCCATATGTAGATAATAATAATTAACATGAAACTAAAACTGCTTTGAATCATTTCAATTTTTCACCTATGTAGCATGAAATGAGACATTTTCATATTTTTGAAGAGAGAAAATAGCATATAATAAAGATGACACACTGAAAGAGATGCACCAGTCTAATTTTATAATAGTTCTCATAATAACTACTCTGTTAATAATTCAAAATTATAATTATTAATAAATTATTGAATAAGATGGAAATCTACAATTTTATCACATAGGTCTAAAAAATATCAATCAACAATGTGATCCTCCACAAATTTGTACGCAAAACTATCACATCTTGTACCATCTCAACCTTTTTAGATCTCCTTTTTTCTTACACTATTTTTTCCACATTTTTCCTCTTTCCGTTTCTTTTCAACTTTCATATCATTAATTACATCTCTCATCTATGTTCCTCCATTAATGGGGAAATCAAAACACTTTGTTGTGTTCTTTTGATTCCTCTGCAACCATTGTTTTGTACTTGCACTCCATGTGCCCAAACATAAACAGGATAATTTATGTATTGAAAACTGTAGTTTTTTGTTTGAAATATCTATAGCATTTTTCTCCAAAGTTACATTGAAAGAGACATAAAAAAAAAGAGAGTAATAAATATCACATAAAAAAGCTGGAAAATATTATTTTTAACATCATTTATACTAGTTTAGCAACTCGTTTTAGAGATATTTTGATTATTAAATAAATAACTCTATTTTTGTAAGAAAAGAGATTGAAAGAAAAATAATAAATATATAATGTGTAAAATTTATTAAATGTGATAATAATAATACAAAAAACTTATCTCTCTTTGTAATTCATAGCATATATTTTCGGTTGTGAATATAATTCTTCTATGAAAATTTAACAAAAAATATAGTGTACCAGGTTTCATGTAACAGCTACGTGAGTCGGTTGGGTGGGGCCACGTTTTATTTCATGTAGCTGTATCATCGGATAAAGTGCCATCAGCAGTGCACAAGTTACTAAGAACCAGTTTATTTTTATAGAAAATACTCGGATACCCGTAAAATGAATATTAAACTAATATATTAATTATTGTAAAAAAAATAAAAGGAAAGATAAAGATGAATATTAAACTAATATATTAAAATCAGTGTTCTTCATTTTCAGTTTTTTTCTTCCATATTTTTTTCTGTTTTTTAATTGTATACTTTTATAAGAAAAATAAACTATTTTTAATAAAATCAAACACATGTTAGCACAAGATATCTCTAGGAGTTAGGAATCAAAATAAAATGAAGTTTGTTTGTAGGGTAGAGATGGTTACCCACCCTATCTCTTACCATAAAAGCTCATGCTCCATTCAGAGGCATTTAAACCTTGTAGCCTGAAAATTTAATGCTCACATGAGACCAATTTGATGATCATATGAATTTTAAGGCCGAAAATTTTTCCAACCAAACTTGCTACAGCCTCAGACATTAATTAAAGAAACAAAAGTTCAGAAATTTATTGATGTTTAGATATATTAGGAAAAATATTTTTTACTAAAAAAATAAAAGTGGTTAAAATTTGTTCATACTTAAAAAGAAAATATAAATGTGTACTTTATTTATAAATAAAAAGGGAAGCGGGAATAAGGTGTAAATAATTTCTTATTTTATCACTCAATTATTTTTATTTCAAATCTATTTTACTCACTTTATCATCATGTATCAATCATTCATTATCAACTTTCCTTTTTCACTCATTTTAAATATTTACCTTTTCTTCTTCGTACATTTTTATCATCATCTTAGTAGTGATACACATTGTTCTGTAAAAATTAGTAACAAATCGATTTAACTTTTGGGATACAAGAATAATTTGTCACATGTTTACATATTTAAAAATACAAAAAAATTAAAATACATTATGGTAAAATGTGCGAGAAAAGTTTTAGATGGTAAACATTAAAGTAATATCATACGTTTCCTATAAACTATCTAACTAATGATATATTAGGTCAACAATTCTCTTTTACGTGCATTGAAGAAGATTAAAATATTTAAAAGTAAATAACGAACCAAAATAAAAAAAATTTCAAAATTTTAAAAGGTGAAAGTATACAGAAATGGATTCGCTCTAATTTATTTCACTATCTTTTTAATAAGTATTTTCTTTTTTTATTCTCATGATGCCATACCTATTTTGTCACCATTTTGATTAATTATTTTGGATTTGCACGTATAAT